ACTCCGAATATAATATTGACAAAATCCTATATCACTATCTCCATCAAAGCCACGGAAGCTCGACACCATCTCCAGAAAACCAATGAGGATTAAACTAATGTATTCTCGTTCAACTTTGTATAGATTTGGGATATTGTGGCGGGTAATGTAGAAAAAGAATTACATTCTATTACAACTACAATAAGGACAACTAAAGGCACGATGAAGTGGCTGTATGACAGATAAGCTTTGTTCTTGTTATTTGCAGAAGAAGAGAGAATCTAAGATGAGAAAACTGGAGAATACACCTCGTGGCTTATTGGTATTTGGAATTGGAGGAGATGTTTTAGCTCTTAATGTGGCTTCTTGTAAGCAGAAATGGAGAATACGAGACTGTCATCGCGGGTGAGTAACCAACTCTCTCTGACTTCTTCTTTGCTATTCTTTTGTTGGATTGTATCACTCAAGCAACTGCTCTATATGTAAACTTGGCATTCTATTGTTTGATTATGCGATATGTAGCATGTTGTCCTTACGATTCTTTGTAAAGTTTTCCGCTTTAAAGGTCCTTGAATTTCATATCAGTTTGCAGAGTTTGAACTCTCATTGACTTCTCATTTACTGTTCTTTTGTTAATCTATATCAGTAAGGCAACTGCTCTATTTGTAGAGTTTTCAGTACGCTATTTGGTTATTTTCTAAGTAGTTGTTCTCTTTGCAATTCTCTGTAAAATGTGCCCTATTAAAGCTCCTTGATTTGTGACTGGCAGAATTTGGACATTTATTCATGTGTTACACTGTTACATGTCTTATGTAGTGGTGGTATTGCTTTTTCCTATGATGGGAAGAAATCCTGCATATACAGTTGTGGTGCGGATGGGAAGGTTTTTGTATATGATCTCGAAACTGGAAAGCGGACCAACAATTTACAGTCTTCAACAAATGCTTTCTCTTCTTTAACCATTTCACCAGGTCTGTTTCTAGAGACGTTGTGCTTATGTTGTTTACTTTATAAATGTTTTTACTAATCTAAATAGACACGTTGAAGTAATGTTGGGAAATTTGGTTTAGATGGAATGATATGTACTTGCCCAATGATCATTTTTTCTGTTTTGTTTCTTTTCTATTGGTAGATGGAAAGTTTTTCGCCACTGTGTCTGATGATCAGTTGAAGATTTTTAGACGGCGAAATCATGTTTACGAAGAAGTTTGCCAAAACTTCGAGTACTTATGCTTTTACCGAGGATGGGAACTCCATTATGTCATCTTTAATTGGTGAAAATGACATTTCAATATGGAAAATTGGCGATGAGATTGGGGATGCTAGTTTTCTGCTTACCTTGGAGCACCAACCCGTCTTTGTGGATACTTGGGGTGGAGAAAGTGGACAAGAGCTATATGTTATGGAGATTTCAGAAAGAGCTGCATGTTATTATTGGTATGCGTTTGGGAGCCTAGGCCCTGAAAACCCTATAAAAGTTGCATTAGTAAATGAAGAGGGCTCACTCCATACAGTATTTGCTGCAAAAAAAGAATATTATGTGCAATTTGATTCAGCTGATGTGCATATAGTCACCGCGTTTGAATCACCTTTGGAATTGTTATTCCGAAAATTGCTAGTGCGGTTTCTCCCCAAAGTGGTAAGTTGAAGCATTTATCGAATTTGCTTTTTGTTTTCTTAAACTAATTTCCGTGATGAATTTGATAAGAAAAGAAGTTCCATTTTTTGTGATGAGTTTAGTATTTTTAATGAAGTTTTAATTATAAGATGTATTTATAAAACTTAATTTTCAAAGCGGAAATTTCTCCTGGAGAGATATGAGAAGCTCTATTCTTTGTGTTCTCATGGACCAACGAGAAGAAAAAGGTAAGTTTTATCTATGAAAATTTTATTCCATAGCTAAGATTTATTGTTCAAATAACCTATTTTAGATTTCATGATACAAGAACTACCTTTTTTACTAGACAACTTCTACAATTGAAATAAAAGTCTTTAGATAACAAGAGGAGCCTATTTATACTATAGGTCCTTTACATACTTCCATTCACTCGATTTTAGGCTTTACAACCAACTCCTTCACTGTTGAGCCACGTCATTTTGGTAAACCTATTAGGTTATGTCAACAATGTTGTGATTTTTAACTATGTTTTTAATGTAGATGTGTGTTGGGCAATCGCTCTGATTGCCTAACTAGAAGCTGCTTTGAAGTTAGATGGTCATGTAAATGACATACGTACACTCTCTGTTCAAACATTGATCGATCTGATGGCGGTAAGAAATCTGGACGATGATGGTTCAATTATCACCATAGAGGTAGCTAGAGACATATTAAAGGGAAAAGGGACTGCCCTTGCGAGTGAATGCCCAATTGATTACAAACTTGGCAAAAGCGATAGGATACCTTTAGTTAATGTATGTCTTAATTTTTGTTTGTTATGCAATTAAAGGGTTTTAGAGCTATACAAGGTATTAAGGATGACCTACTTTTGGTTAGATGAAACCATCCCAATATTCGATGCAAATGAAAAAGATGAAGAAGACAAAAATGAGCACATTGACATCCAGATTGCTCTTCATCCTTTTCCATTTGAGTCGCGACTAGTGGAACTTCTCAAACTAGGCCTTGTTGATGCTTGGATTGTCATGGTTGACAATTATAGGGATTTGCAGGTAACATTGTATTTTTTGTTTTTAATGTCAATCTCATTTTTATTAACTTTCAATCTAAATTTGCTGTTTTTTCACAAGAAAATGAGATTTATGATCCGAGAGATGAAGAAATAAAATATTCAGAGAGTGGACACTTGATGTTATTGACGGGAAAAGGTATTGATGAGAGTGGGGAGAGAGTGGATTTATTAGAGTTATGCGATACCGTTGTATAGTGAGCCACTTCACTAAGATGACTGTAAGTTCTGTTCTGAAATAAGTTTCATTTCTTTCATGTTATGTTTTATATTATGATGTGTTTTTTTTTGTGGCAGCTTCTCCCGCGTCTTTGAGAAACTGTCCATCGTCCGTTCTGTTATTTGGAAAGCCTTTAGAGAAGTCGTCCATTAAAATCTTGATCTACCGCATATTTTTTAGAATTTGTTTTAGTTTCTTCTTTTACACCTTTTGGTGTTAGCTGCTGCAATGTCGGAAGTAGAAAAGAAATTGCCTTACATACCAGAGGATTGGTCTGATGCAGCAACTTGTGTTTCCTGCAGCTCCATCACGTCGTTGCAACCGGTTGTAGCTTTAGTTTCATGTGTAGGTTTGAAGATTTACCTTCATGTGTAGGTCTTGGTAAGTTGCTCTTATCCATTGCAATTAGTGAAAAAAGCTTATCGAATCTGGTTTTTTGAATTTTAACAGGAATCGTGCGAGGTATTGACACCGAGAGAGGAATCTTATATGTGATCACTCCAGTACCAGAAAACGTAGTTGAGAGAGTTGGTCTTCTATTGCAAGGCTGTATTCAGTTACCTACTTGTCTTTTGGAGGTGAAAGATTACAGGTCTCCATATTTATCTCCACATGTCTTAGCTTCCACCTAAATTTCCTTCTCTTAAGACAAAGTTTTGCTCTGTTTTTCTGTTTACTACATATCAATTTAGCTACTCTTTTTTCAATTGTTTAATCTCAAATCATGCAAAACCAAAAAAGTCATTTGTTATGTCAATTTTCAAACATTTTAGCTTGATATGGCTTATGGTCACATAAACAAGTTACAACTCAGATTCAAATGACTCTATAACAATTTTTTTTACATGACAAAAGAGTTCAACAGTGATGAAAACTCGTTACTGTAATGTTGTGGTTACAAATTCATATACACATCAAAAACCACCTACGGGTCAATCTTAAAACGAACCGGTTATGAGGTGGTTAACAGTGATCCATGGAAGCAGAAGATCTGATGGTTTTTAAGGTTCCACCAAGTTCCAATGGAACCAAAGGTATAAGAGAATGCAAGACGTCTGTAATCAACGGTCTATAACTCGGTTCTGGCTGCACGCACAAAACCGCCACTGCCGCTACCTACACATTTGCATACTCGCATCACAACTCTTGATTTCTATCTCAAAGCCATTAATCAACTCATCAAAATCAACCAAATTTCTCTCCACACTCTAAAAATATTGCAAACAAACGAACCTGGTAAAGATGTTTTAAGTCCATCGTGTCTTTAATCGCAGGATCTATGACGTTTGGTAACTTGGTTCTATCAGTGAGATAAGGCATTGCCTGAGAAGAAGAAAACAAGACCACAATTCAAGATTCCAAGTCTAAGAGGTTTAAAAGGTAACAACAGTATGAGATTATATATGTACCCAAGTGATGATGGATTGGCATTCACTGGGACCTAGTTTCTCGACAGGTTTTTTCCCGAGCAAAAGCTCTAATAACACTACCCCGAAGGCGTACACGTCGCTCTTTTCTGTCAGTTGGCCTATTCATTTATCAAACATACAGAAAGTATGGTAATCAGAGAAATGCTTTTCATAGAAAACAGCACAAGTTATGTTCTATGAAATTAAGACTTGAGAGATTAATATTTCAGGGTTTACCGTCGAGAAGATACTCTGGTGCGACGTAGCCAACTGTTCCGGAAAGTTTAAGGTTCTTGTTTTTTGGTCCATTGACAACAGCAAGACCAAAATCTGAAATCTACAATTCATACAAAGCTAAAGCTTGAGATAGAAAAAACAAAGGAAATGATATTGAAATTTTATCAAAAAATTTAAACATTGATTTGTTACCTTAGCGTTGAAATTACAGTCCAATAATATGTTGGACGATTTCAAGTCCCTGTGAATGATCGCTGGATGGCAATGTTCATGCAGATATTCTAGTCCCCTAATTGGAAATTCACACCAAAACAATAGTTGTTTAAGTCATCTAGAATGTGAAATGTTGTGTGTAAACACAAGAAGTCATGCTCACCTCGCAATATCAAGAGCAATCTTCATCCTCATAGGCCATGTGATTGTTATCCCTGAACCCCGAGAAGATCCTGAGATCAAGAACATGAACAAAAAGTTTCAATATTTCTTGCTCACGAAAAAAAAATATGTAAATCGATTTTTGTACCGTGCAAGTGAGATTCCAGAGAAACGTTTGGCATCAGCTCATAGACGATGAATCGTGCAGTATCATTCGTGCTATAACCCAAGAGGGATATTATATTTGGGTGCTGGATCTTACTCAAWATCTCAACCTCACACTGCAAATATCCAAGAAAATAAAACAAAGGCAAGAAGATGAAAATTTTCATTGCAATTGCATATGGAACCACAAAAAAGTCAACTTTATAGCTGAAAACAATCAAAGCAGAAGCAACTACAAACATGGAAGAGTTTCAAACACACACACAAAAAGCATTGTACCTTAAATTCCTTTGCTGCCTCTTCATTGGCACAGTCTAGCTTCTTAACCGCAGCTGGAACGTTGTTCTCTAATGTAGCCAAATATACACATCCAAATCCACCTTGGCCCAAAATGTTACTCTCTTTGAAACCACTAGTTCCCTTCTCTATTATATTGTAATCAATCAACGCCACGGTTCCCTGCTTTGTAGTTCTCTTCTCAAATGTTTTTGAGCGATTCAAGAACCGTGAGAATGTGATTCCACCACACTCGCATCCTTCAAAACCCAAATTGGCACATTAAGGTAAAAACCAGATGCATAAACAACAAACAACTTCAATGTGCATTCAAGAATCACTTTCTCAACTATCAGCTCCAACAAGAACATGAACAAGATATGTCATCTACGATTGATTAATTAATTACCTGAGCTCTTATTGTTTCTTCTCCTGCAGCAAACCCAATAGAGCAGAGAGCAAACTAAGAGTATCCCAACTAAGGAAAAAACAGCTGCAAGTGAAATAACCAGTTTCATCTTGTTGCTATCTTGTTTATGCAATTCTTGATCTCCCTGTTGCAATCCTGATCAACCAACCAAAAGGAATTAGGATTAGTTCTTCTTTCTTTATCCTTTGTTTATCCAAATGAAAACCGCGTAAAGTCTTCAGATTTCAAGAAAATTTGGGAACTTTGTAGACCCAAGAAGAGAAATTGTGTGAAAAATTCGAACTTTACGGTAAGAGATAAGCGTTACATGAAAAGGGTGAAGCAGAGAGAAACTTTCTTGTGACCCAAAAGTCCAAAACTAAAATCTTTTCGAAAAATTTATACTTTCTATTAAAAAGATGAAAGTCATAACGAACAACGAATAAGAGTAACAAGAACTTTTTACTTGTTTCTAATTTTCTTGAATTTTTTTCAGACCGAATCGAAATGTGGAAGTGAATGAATAAAACCCTAAATTTGAAGAGCAAAAAAAGAAACCAAATTTACCAGGAGATAAGTCAGGAGCGAAAGCAGAAGAAGGTTGAGGAGAAAGAGATTCATCATGTGTAGTGAGGAACACAACACATGTGGATTGATGAACAAGAACAGAAGCTTGTAGTAAAACAAGAACTGCAATAACAAATTGCTTCATTTTCTTTCTTTCCAGAGGTAAATTTATCTTTTTTTCAAGAACCCACCAAGAATTGGGAAGATTTTAGACAGATTTTGAATTGGGTTTTAGATAAGAGAGAGAGAAGACAAATTGGAGCAATTCAAAAAAAAGAAGAAGAATGTGTTTTGAAATTTTGAATGAAAGAGAGAGAAGATTGAGAAAAAAACTAACTTTCGTATTTAACCATTGTTGAAGGTCTCTGCAAGAAAAAGGGTAAAAAGAAAGAGACAAGAGGATTCGGACGAAGTTTTGGAGGTGGAGTAGTTAGTTACTTACCAAAAGAATATCAGAAAATCTCGTTTATATAATGGAAAATATATTTGGTATTTAATTAGGCAATTAAAATATACATCATATTATTATGTATGTGTAGACAAATTATATACTTGCTATGCATGTAATGTATACATATGTCAAAATTATGTGAAGTAAATCTTGTCTTGTGGCGTTAGTTTAAATTCAAAATCAAATATGTATCATACAAGACAAGTTTTTATATAATCAAATTTTAGTATTCAAAGGCTACTCTGAATTCTAGCTAGTGAAATAGTGTTTTGACACTAATTTATTGCTTACTTCAAATTTCAATAAAAACTAGTAATATTTTGTATTGATAAGTCAATTTTAATCCGAAAATCTGGACCCGTACCCCCAATA